GTGATCCTGTCATCTTGTCGCTGGGAGGGGTCTGGTGTGAAGTCTGTAGGATCGACAGCGTTGGGAATAACGGACACTATCTCTGGGTCGAGTGCTGCGCGTAGAACTGTGTTCTCCTTACTTGTGTAGGACACACACACAATGTGGTTGGTGTCACACAGCGACACAGTCAGGAGCTTGTTGGTCAGGACAGAGCTGAGGTCAGCAAAGCCAAAGAGCGAGTGGTCAGTGAAAACCTGCAAATGACAAACACTCTTTAGCGATTTAAACAGCATCATGTTAGAAACACGGGAAATTACCTGAATCACCTACTGTGTTAAGACCCATGGTCTTAGCGTGGAACAATGCATCATGGGCCATGGCAGAAAAGGAGCTGTGTGCATGCACGACGGTGATGCGCTCCCTGACAAACACACAGCGCATCAGCGGGAGACTGTGGAAGCAGGTGGTGGCTGTGGACTGGTTGTACATCACTTGCAGGGGCAGGTAGTATACCTTCAGGCCATTGGTCAGGTACCGGACACCCTTCCTCCTGCCGTAGGCGTGAGTGACAATTACCACCTTGTGCCCCTTTTCAATCAGGCACTGGGAGAGTTGGTAAATGTGACTTTCTACTCCTCCCATGTTTGGATAGAAAAAGTCAGACACCATGCAGATGTTGTGCTTCCTGCTGTGGACTCTGGCAGCCTGTGCAGAAACTCCAGAGTTTCTCTGAGATGAAGGGTTATTCCCTGCTGCCACTTTCCGGCGCTGACCCATGGTATGCTTCTTGAGTGTCTCTGTACTTGATCAGTGCTGAAAGAAATAGTTAATAGTTAACAATAAGTATAATTCTAATGGATTATGTGTTGTATGGGTTTTGACTTTTGCTGCCATGATGCCAAGTCTTGGAAAGGAGATTTGAATCTCAATGAGATTTTTACCTGGATAAATAAAGGATTAATAATTAAAAAAAATACTGGGAAAAAAAAGAGGCTTCCCATCAGTGACTTTTTAAGCTAATCATTTTTCAAAGTAAATATATTTGACCTGAATCAGCTGAATTGTTGGTGAAAAAAAGTATTATAAAGTAATATATTAACAAAAAAAGGGCGATAGATATATTATTACATGAGCACCCAGATTCTCACTCAATGAAGGGCACCAGCGTCCTGTGACCTTGAATTGGATAAGTTGTTAAGAAAACGGATAGAGGGGTCAATTGATAATATATTTTTTATAAGCATTCTATTGTATAGTCTACTGATATTTATAATTTTTTTTAAAAATCATGGTACGTTCAAAGCCTAAAGTAATATGGGCATTCTGACACTGGTCTTTGACCTGCAAGTGTTGCTGTGGCTTTAACTTCTTGAGTTTTTATCCTCTTCTACCTGCACCTTGGAAACACTTGTAAGGGCAGAAAACTTTGCTGGGTCCACCTGTCCTGAAATGTGATTCCATTGTTTTTATTAGAAACACACAAAAATCTCACCACTACACGTCGACACCTCTCTGACAGTGTCAACAAAGCCGCACATTAAAACTTTGCAGCCGATTTGTAGCAGAGATGTTCAATTTTATTTAACATTTAAAAAGTAGGAATAAAGAAGAAACCTTTTGACCCTTTGCCTTGGTCATTGTCATCCAAAGTAACCTTTGCAGCGCAGTCTGAATAGGCTTGTATCCATATCATCACATACATGTTTGCACAGTGTGTGGAGGTTCGATATCAGCTCACAGACAACCCCAAACCGAGAGTACTGCCATGTCTATAAGTTCCCTACTTCTACCCATTAACACAAACCGAAATAAAACACTTGAACGGATTTGCTGATGTGAGGTAGCAAACTCCTCTAAGCTCCAGTGCATTTAGGCTTTACACTTGTTCGCATTATGTATAAACGTCATGGAGACAAACACCTCTTCGCATTTAACCTTAACAAGCATCGCAGCGAACCGCTTTCACAGTCCAACCTGCCTTACCGTGGGTGGAAAGTCAGTCTTTTTCCAGATTTGATTTCATTTCTACATGCTAGCCCCGAGCTAGCCACTTAGCCGCCTGTGTTACTTCCTGGTGTTTTCTACGTCACTGGGAACGTGGTAGCTGACGTATGCTGCAAGGAAGTGAAACTATATGTGACATTTAAACTTTGAGGGTTTTGGTTTTTTTTACAAGTAAAATAAAACCAAAGGTTAAGATTCGTTTTTCTTTCATACTTACTTGTTATAAACGTCTTTAAGTGCGAATGCTAAATCCAGAAATTATCACCATGCATGTTTTTTGTGCTTTGTTGCTGTTGTTGTTTTAATATTGTTAAAGTCACACAATAAAGTGAAGTAATGGGGACGATTTACTTACACACTTTTATTCCACAGCATTATCAACTGGTAACTTAAATTACGGCTGTTTATAGACTAAGCCTTTACAATTAAGGTTTTGCAATATTTTCCTTAAATATATAAAATTCTGTGAAATACAAAACACTGATACAAATGACAGACTGAAGCAGTGATCCAAAACCAGGTTGGTATGTGAAGAATCAGGAAAAATCTAGTAACGAGTGGCTTAAAAAGAAAAGAATAAATATGTTGTAATGGCACAGTAGAAAGTTCAGCCCTCATCTCGACTCACTGGCTGTGGCAGAACCTCAAAAGAGTCACACATGAATGACTGCAAACCTCAGTGAATGGAAACAGACGGTCAAATATTTCTCCACAGTGATGTGAAAGACTGATAAAGCCACAATAGTAAAACTGGCTATACAATCTTTTGAATCATAGTGTGTACTTGATTTAATATACATGCTTTTGTATTTGGCTTATTTTTTAATCAATAAAAAATGACACTGAGGTAATATCTGAGGTTTTATTTACTTCATTTTTCATTCAAATTATGTCCTGTGTTGCATGACTGTACATTAGTTACAGCAGAGATCTACTGCATGTTGTTACTTTGTCACAACAAAAACATTTTTGTTGATACTGCAGTTTTGCATCACTCTTATGTGATGGAGTACTGAAAGTGTGCTACACTTGACAAAAAAACAACAACAACGCAAAAACAGGATCTGTGTTCTTCTTGAAGCATGTGGTGTGCAAGTGTTCATGGTTCTTTAAAGAGAAATGAAATATCTGACAAGGAAATAAAAGTTACCAATCATGCAGTTTAAAAACACTTTATTGCTGAACAAAATGTTTGTTTTACTCTCTCTCTCTTTTTTTTTTTTAGATATAATTTTCTTTTTGGTGCAGAAAAGGGCCACACATTTACATTTCATTACACTTCTCCATTCGTCAAATTTTGGCATACTGTCCTGACTGCAGTCACAGATTCAAGGCTGCTGACCTAATTCCCAAAAAGGGACCAGAGCTGCATGGCTACGTAGTACAGTGATGTTTCACAGTTAAGCAACATCATTTGCAAATTTCTTACTTGGCTCCTGAATGTTTTTTCCTATACACACATTACCCTAAACCTACTTATTTAAGTTAGGTTAAAAAAAACAAGAACAAAAAACAAAACCTGGCATCTGATATATACAGTAGCTTGCAAAAGTATTCGGCTCCCTTGAACTTTTCCACATTTTGTCACATTACAGCCACAAACATGAGTCAATTTTATTGGAATTCCACGTGAAAGACCAGTACAAAGTGGTGCACACGTGAGGAGTGGAATGAAAATCATACATGATTCCAAACATTTTTTACAAATAAATAACTGAAAAGTGGGGTGTGCGTAATTATTCAGCTCCCTGAGTCAATACTTTGTAGAACCACCTTTTGCTGCAATTACAGCTGCCAGTCTTTTAGGGTATGTCTCTACCAGCTTTGCACATCTAGAGACTGACATTCTTGCCCATTCTTCTTTGCAAAACAGCTCCAGCTCAGTCAGATTAGATGGACAGCGTTTGTGAACAGCAGTTTTCAGATCTTGTCACAGATTCTCGATTGGATTTAGATCTGGACTTTGACTGGGCCAGTCTAACACATGGATATGTTTTGTTTTAAACCGTTCCATTGTTGCTCTGGCTTTGTGTTTAGGGTCATTGTCCTGCTGGAAGGTGAACCTCCGCCCCAGTCTCAAGTCTTTTGCACACTCCAAGAGGTTTTCTTCCAAGATTGCCCTGTATTTGGCTCCATCCATCTTCCCATCAACTCTGACCAGCTTCCCTGTCCCTGCTGAAGAGAAGCACCCCCAGAGCATGATGCTGCCACCATCATATTTGACAGTGGGGATGGTGTGTTCAGAGTGATGTGCAGTGTTAGTTTTCCGCCACACATAGCGTTTTGTATTTTGGCCAAAAAGTTCCATTCTGGTCTCATCTGACCAGAGCACTGTCTTCCACAGGTTTGCTGTGTCCCCCACGTGGCTTGTGGCAAACTGCAAACGGGACTTCTTATGGTTTTCTGTTAACAATGGCTTTCTTCTTGCCACTCTTCCATAAAGGCCAACTTTGTGCAGTGCACGACTAATAGTTGTCCTATGGACAGATTCCCCTACCTGAGCTGTAGATCTCTGCAGCTCGTCCAGAGTCACCATGGACCTCTTGACTGCATTTTTGATCAGCGCTCTCCTTGTTCGGCCTGTGAGTTTAGGTGGGCGGCCTTGTCTTGGTAGGTTTACAGTTGTGCCATACTCCTTCCATTTCTGAATGATGGCTTGAACAGTGCTCTGTGGGATGTTCAAGGCTTTTGCAAAGAAGAATGGGCAAGGATTTCAGTCTCTAGATGTGCAAAGCTGGTAGAGACATACCCTAAAAGACTGGCAGCTGTAATTGCAGCAAAAGGTGGTTCTACAAAGTATTGACTCAGGGGGCTGAATAATTACGCACACCCCACTTTGCAGTTATTTATTTGTAAAAAATGTTTGGAATCATGTATGACTTTTGTTCCACTTCTCACGTGTACACCACTTTGTGTTGGTCTTTCACGTGGAATTCCAATAAAATTGATTCATGTTTGTGGCTGTAATGTGACACAATGTGGAAAAGTTCAAGGGGGCCAAATACTTTTGCAAGCTCAGACTTTACTCTTTACAAGGAAATCTGATAAATGGCATACAGAGAATAGACTCCTCCCCCTTTAGCTTCCAAAATAGATGTAGTTTCCATGAGCAGGAACAAAAGATGAAAACTAGATTTCGCAAACAGCCACTATTGCATCAGCAGTGATTAATCACCTCCTTTGGTTCAGAATAAAGTACATTCACATCCTCACTTAAAGCTCATCTGAGTTTGTTTTTGTCTGAGAGAAGTCACCATTTTGCACATTTCTGTCACTGGGAAATCCTTCACAAAGAGAAAATGAAAGATTAAATTATTGGAGAGACACAGTAACAAAGTCAAATGTCAACAAACACTAGCAAAACTGTTAGTGGCTGATAAAAAGCTGCAGCAAGAGCAACAGAGTCACTCTGGTTTAACCAGTAATGCAATAAATGTAGCATAAGGAAACTCACTGTGAGACGTTCCACGACAGTACCAAATCAGCAAAAATCCAAGCGCCAACACAACAGGGACCCCTTTAAATAATATCCTGAAAAGGGGGTCCAGGCTGGTTAATGAATATAGATAATTCCCTGGAAAAAGAAAAAAAAATACAATAACTGATATTATGAAATGTTCCACAGTTGTGTGTATCATGACTATTACCGTCTTTGCATTTAATGTCACAGCACATTTATTGTAGTAGAAGTACCAGGCAACACCTCAGATCAATCTTTGCTGAAATAACAATTTAAAATGAATAATTACCAGATGGGCATGTGACATTGACTTGACATCTAGGCTCTGAGAGGAAGTTCCTTTCAGTCTCGAGTCTACTGTGAAAGTAGTGGACGTCAGTTTCTTCATCCAGGCTGTATGTGGTAGAGATGTTAGTCGTGGTTGAATTTGACAGACACGTTCCATTCAAAGTCCACTGAATGTTAGGCTCTTTGTAGCTGTCAAGCTTTACAACACATTGGTAAACGTCTTCGCCATTTGGAAGAGTCTTGTTGTGCTGAAAAATATGTGTCCCTGGTGAGAGATGATTTTTGTTAAAATTATGAAATTACATGAGTATTAAAAAATTGCTGGTAATCACAATGTACAACTTACCAAAAACCACAAGATTCACATACAAACGTTTGTATTGTGGAGAATAAAAACGACAACTGTATTTTCCCTGGTCTTCTTTTGTGATGTTTTTTAATAGAACAGAACAATTACTGCTGTCCTTATGAAAAAATGTTTCATATCGGTGGGACAGGTTGTCTTTAAAATCTAAGGTCCCATCATTATATCTGAAGATCAATTTTCTCTCCACCCCTCTCTCCTCATCTTCTTCCACTTGCCACTTGAAGTCCTTATTCAAATCTCTATTAGGGCAGTCACATGGCAGGAGCACATCGTCTTTCTCAAAGCCTTTAACAGTGACGCCTTCACCTGCAACAGAAAAGATGACCAATCATAAGTCCAGTTATGAGAATCACAATGTCAGTTTTCCTGCTGCATTAAATTATCAAAAGTAAACTTGACAAAATAGGAAAACACAGAACTTGCTGCTTCTCAAAAGTTCAATAATCACAGAGAAACTGAGGAACAACTTGTGGGCTTTACAGCTCTGCTGTTAGAGTCATTTTCAGATGAAAGTATTTCTCGTGGGAATCCAACCAGTGACTCTCCACTGTGCATTATATGTAGGATTTGCTGTATCTTCTAAAAGACTTGGCATAATCATAAAAACACAATTCAGTGATTTGAGTTCATCAATAGTACAAAAACTACACCTACACCTACACCCCCCCCCCCCCCCCCCCCCCCAATTTTTTTCCACATGTCGAGGAGCGTGTCAGGCTACATTTCACTGTGTGTTATACTTGTATAACTATGCATGTGACAAATAAAGAACCTTGAAAACAGCACAAAGTCAAGTGTTCTGAAGTGGCTGACCTCTTATTTGCAACCATCGATTTTATTTATTGAAAAATCTGGGCAGAAACATTTGGGGAAAATAGTAAAGATACCAATAAAGAGAACAAGAAACATATCTTTATATTGTTTTCTTTCATTGAAGAGTGTGGAAAGAGTGAATAAATGAAAGAATGCAGGAAATAAGTTATTCAGTTATGTAAATGATAATAAATCAAGTAAAATAAAAGTTTGTTGTGATTTCATATCAACTGTGTTTGAGTTAATGCCATCAGTCTGCTGTAAGTTGCCAGTTACTGTTTCACTTCTGGAGTTTATTTCTTTGACACTACAGAGCTGGTTTGTTATATTTATGTAGGTTATAGTGAGTATAATAAACTAAGTAAGTAACTAATAGTTAAAGCTGTACTAGTTGTTTTCACCTAGTTCTTGTGTAATGTTTAGCTTAGTACATTCCTCCCTGTGAAATATTAACAATCAGCATATTTCACAACTGTACATTTCAAACAATCATCCGGCAACTCCACATTTTTCATTTACCATTCACACAATCACTCATGTTTGTGTTTGTTACTCTTGTTTCACTTTCTGATAAATCTCCAGTACATCTGCACAGTTCTTTGTGCTTCATGTTTTCCATCTGTTATTCTTTTACACTTCCTGTGATAACTGCCTAAATACTTCTATATTCAAATTATAATCCCTTCCATCGTGACAATTGCAGCATGGAATTTTGCAACGTGTTCTGGTTTAGGCATGAAACTAAGATATGTTTGCACAACCACTCCTTGTTAGAGATTTGAGCCTCACTTTGTTTGCATTTCTTCAGATTAAATAAAGAAAGTAGGGCTGCAGCATTCATCGAGTATTTCGAAGAATTCGATAATTTAAAAAAAAAATTATCGCCACAAATTCTTTGCTTTGATGATGTAGCGCGCCACTGTCACCATGGAAACCCACATTTGCGACTTAAACCAGACCTGCAATAGAAACGTATTTAGTAGCAGCGTTTGAATAAAAAGTCTGGCCACATTAAGCCCACACAGCCTCCAGCTTTAAATAGAAAGCCTGGTAACACTGATATAACACTGATAACAGCAGAAGTGATGATGACCGCAAAGAGCAAAGGGGCGAAGCTGTTACCGAGACGAGGGCTGTGGAGACCGCACGCTTGAAGTACGGTGTGTACTATAAGTACGAGAAGTGCGGAAGTGAGAGGCTTGTGAAATGGGACGGTCTAGCCTTCGTTGCGCTGCCCAGGTTGCCTAGCAACCATGATACTAACCGGGAGAAACGTTTCATACAGCATCGTTTGACAGAAATGATGATGAAATAACAATTTAAAATGAATAATTACCAGATGGGCATGTGACATTGACTTGACATCTAGGCTCTGAGAGGAAGTTGCTTTCAGTCTCGAGTCTACTGTGAAAATAGTGGACGTCAGTTTCTTCATCCAGGCTGTATGTGGTAGAGATGTTAGTCGTGGTTGAATTTGACAGACACGTTCCATTGTTCAAAGTCCACTGAATGTTAGGCTCTTTGTAGCAGTGAAGCTTTACAACACATTGGTAAACGTCTTCGCCATTTGGAAGAGTCTTGTTGTGCTGAAAAATATGTGTCCCTGGTGAGAGATGATTTTTGTTAAAATTATGAAATTACATGAGTATTAAAATACTGTTGGTATTCACAATGGATGACTTACCAAAAACCACAAGATTCACATACAAACGTTTGTATTGTGGAGAATAAAAACGACAACTATATTCTCCCTGGTCTTCTTTTGTGATGTTTTTTAATAGAACAGAACAATTACTGCTGTCCTTATGAAAAAATGTTTCATATCGGTGGGACAGGTTGTCTTTAAAATCTAAGGTCCCATCATTATATCTGAAGATCAATTTTGCCTCCACCCCTCTCTCCTCATCTTCTTGCACTTGCCACTTGAAGTCCTTATTCAAATCTCTATTAGGGCAGTCACATGGCAGGAGCACATCGTCTTTCTCAAAGCCTTTAACAGTGACGCCTTCACCTGCAACAGAAAAGATGACCAATCATAAGTCCAGTTATAAGAATCACAATGTCAGTTTTCCTGCTGCATTAAATTATCAAAAGTAAACTTGACAAAATAGGAAAACACAGAACTTGCTGCTTCTCAAAAGTTCAATAATCACAGAGAAACTGAGGAACAACTTGTGGGCTTTACAGCTCTGCTGTTAGAGTCATTTTCAGATGAAAGTATTTCTCGTGGGAATCCAACCAGTGACTCTCCACTGTGCATTATATGTAGGATTTGCTGTATCTTCTAAAAGACTTGGCATAATCATAAAAACACAATTCAGTGATTTGAGTTCATCAATAGTACAAAAACAGCACAAAGTCAAGTGTTCTGAAGTGGCCGACCTCTTATTTGCAACCATCGATTTTATTTATTGAAAAATCTGGGCAGAAACATTTGGGGAAAATAGTAAAGATACCAATAAAGAGAACAAGAAACATATCTTTATATTGTTTTCTTTCATTGAAGAGTGTGGAAAGAGTGAATAAATGAAAGAATGCAGGAAATAAGTTATTCAGTTATGTAAATGATAATAAATCAAGTAAAATAAAAGTTTGTTGTGATTTCATATCAACTGTGTTTGAGTTAATGCCATCAGTCTGCTGTAAGTTGCCAGTTACTGTTTCACTTCTGGAGTTTATTTCTTTGACACCACAGAGGTGGTTTGTTATATTTATGTAGGTTATAGTGAGTATAATAAACTAAGTAAGTAACTAATAGTTAAAGCTGTACTAGTTGTTTTCACCTAGTTCTTGTGTAATGTTTAGCTGAGTACATTCCTCCCTGTGAAATATTAACAATCAGCATATTTCACAACTGTACATTTCAAACAATCATCCGGCAACTCCACATTTTTCATTTACCATTCACACAATCACTCATGTTTGTGTTTGTTACTCTTGTTTCACTTTCTGATAAATCTCCAGTACATCTGCACAGTTCTTTGTGTGCAGATTAAATGTGAACACAAAGTGCAAATCCCCCGTTCACTTGAGGGCACGTACACAGACATGCCGTCGGGTGCTGAAAGATGACATCTGACAGATTCCTAAGCTGCAGGTTCCGTCACTCTCAGACCAAAATTCACTCACAGTTAAAAAAACAAAACAAAAACAAAAAACAACTTTACGTAATTTTACACATTTCTTATAATTTAACTCCAAAGAGTCATGCTGACAGATTTCTTTCTTTGTTACAGGAGCTTTTTCTTTATATTGAAAAACAGTTAAATATGCAACTTCTTTACACTGACAGGATAGGAAACTTCACCGATCCAGCCCGCTGACACCAAAGTGGGCTTTTTGTGGCCTGCAGTGTAAAATGAGTTTGACACCTCGAGTTTGGACATTAATGAATACTAAAAGCCTATGAGTTTGAATTGAATATAACTTTGCCACATTTAACACATAAGATTAAACAATCAATACTAATAAAAAAATTGAATAAAATAAAATGAAAGAACTAAACACAAATTTTTGCCTTCCTATATAGGTTAGACCTGAACTCAACCTTTTTTCTTTTTCTTTTTAAACACTCTAGGCTGTTTAAACAGTGGTTTAGTGGAATGATATGGTTGATGAAGAACACATTTCCAATCACGAGACATTAGCGGTAAATGTCTATAGAAAGTTTTGCCACTAAAAAGGAAAAGAATGTGCACTGCTGTGTTTTGCAAATTTTATGAGTCCATTTTTTTTTATCACAGATAAGGCGTGGACTAGAAATGTTTTGCACTGAAGCTCTGTTAGTCTTTTAGTCCAGGGTTAGCTTTAATCTACATCTGAGAAACTGGGTGAACGAGTCAAGGTTGAACTAACCTTGATACGGCTTTTAGGATGTCATTTGTTACAAAATGTATTCCTTTGCATTTCTACCCATTCAAGTGTTTAATGTTTTGACTATTAGATAAGAGCTGTGCAAAGTTAATATAATTATGCAACTGTCTTAATAAGACTAATAGGAGATTATTTGACATTGGTTGGATGTGGTTTTCATAGGATAATAATGTGTGTACAAAAAAATATGTGTGAGATATTTTTAATCCAGCAGCTCTGCAAACCTCTCTTATTTACGTGTCACAGAAGACAAGTTTTTACTGTACACTGACTTAAAGATTGACTGACTTTATTGATTTATACTGAGCAGTGTCAACAATATTCTACAACTGTGTTAGGGTTAGAAATTTAACACTAAGTAGTCCTGATTTTCTAACATTGAAAAATCAACACTGGCATTTCTGTGCACATTTTCAGGAAAAGACATATATCTCTTTGCATTTAAATAATTTGACTGACATGGAGACGTGCATACCTGCAGACACCGCAAAAAACGCGGAGAGAAGGAAAAAACGCATGATTCCTCCACGGGTAGACTGATGCTCGAGGTAGTTTGTACTTCCCAGCATGTGATTTATAATATGTGTGTTAGTCTGCTCTTCTAACTTTTATCCTCTTCTCCGTGCACCTCGAAGCACTTGAAAGGTCACAAATCCCCACTAGGGTCCACCTGTCCTGAACCATGGTTGCTGTTCATTGATAGGGCGGCCAAAACATTATCAACACCCAATAATCTCACCACACGTCAACACTTCTCAAACACTGTCAACAAAACCGCACATCGGAAACTTTGCAGAAGATTTGTAGCTGAGTTTTTGCATTTTATGTAACATTTAAAAAAGTTCGAATATGAAGAAACCTTTTGCTTTTATCATATTCATCCAAAGTAACCTTTACAGCGCAGTCTGAATATCATCACATACATGTTTGCACAGTGTGCCATATCAGCTCATAGACAACCCCAAACCGTGAGTACTGCCATGTGTATAAGTTTCCTACTCCTACCCATAACACCAGCCGAATCAAAACACTTGTACAGATTTGCTGATGTGAGGTAGCAAACTCCTCTAAAGCGTAAATGCACTGAAGCTTACACCTGTTATGTTTAAATCATGGCGACAAACGCCCTTTCGCATTTAACCTTAAAAAGCATCTGACCACTTTCCCAGTCCAAACTGCCTTACCCAGGGTGGAAAGTCAGTCTTTTTCCAGATGTGGTTTCATTTCTACATGCTAGCCACTTTGCCGCTTGTGCTACTTCCTGGTGTTCTCTACATCACTTGAAACGTAGCAACTGGCATGTGGTTTAACGGTGTGTACCGCCAGATCTTTAGGAGAGACCGGGGATAGTTGTAACATTTTTGACATTTCTGGTTGTAGCTTGGAGCTCTTTTAAGGTGTGGATTCAAAATGTAATGCAAAGTATTTACATGTCTCTGCTATTAAATAGTGCAGCTATTTTCTCTGCAGCACAATTACTTATTGCATGGTGTGGTCTCAAACACAAAGAGTGAAATATTACAACTAACCCCATTGTCTGGGTTAGTTGTAACATATGCTGGGATGAAATGTAACACAATGAAATAAGGGTTCTGACAAAATCTTAACATCTAACCTTTTTTATTCAACACCAGAATACACTTAGAACTATTTATGTAGCTCTGTGTGTGTGTGTGTGTGTGTGTGTGTGTGTGTGTGTGTGTGTGTGTGTGTGTGTGTGTGTGTGTGTGTGTGTCAGAATGCAGAAATCTAGCTTTTGAACATATTCCAACCCCCAAAAAAGACAAATTATGGAATTTTCAACAATTGAATATTTCATTCATTTTGGTTGGTCTTCCTTGAGTTTGGCCTCATTGGCTCAATGGGCATTGTAACCTACAACTCTTGCACCAACTTTTGAATATAACAATGAAGCTGAAAAAATTTAGTTGTGCATCAGTTGTGTAGTTGTGCAATTCCATTGCAATGTCCATGAGAAGAATTACTTTTTTTCATGGCTTACATTGGTGTGGTTTGCAAAGTGCTTCAGAAAGATGAGGAAATCTGTTTCTTGCACCCACCCTGATTTATTTCCACTACCAATACTTCCTACTGGCCCATCTCTGACAAAGTGGTCTGCATAACGTATGCGTCGGAACACAAACATTGGAGGAATTGTGTTGCCAGTGGCATTAACCGCATATACAAAGGTGACCAGTGAACCTCTCTCTGCTGATGTCATTGCCCTAACTTGTTTAAAATAAGTTAAAGTAATAGTGTGGTAAGTTGTAACATCTGCATTATTGTTACAGCTGACCCAGACTCCTATAGCCATGAACTAACTAATATTACAGACAACTGCTAAAACATTAGCACTAAAGACCTACACAGAATATATCACCATATAGAAGGTCCTGAGTTCGATTCCATCATCAGGCTGGGGTTTTCTGTGTAGAGTTTGCATGTTCTCCCCGTGTTTGCGTGGGTTCCCTCCGGGTACTCCGGCTTCCTCCCACCGTCCAAAGACATGCAGCTTGTGGGGATAGGTTAATTGATTAATCCAAATTGCCACTAGGTGTGAATGTGAGCGCGAATGGTTGTCTGACTCTGTGTGTTAGCCCTGCGACAGACTGGCGACCTGTCCAGGGTGTACCCCGCCTCTCGCCCTATGACAGCTGGGATAGGCTCCAGCGCCCCCTGTGACCCTGAAAAGGACAAGCGGAAGGGAATGGATGGAGTTTAACTGCAAAGTAGATAATGCTATTAGAAATTGAAATACATTTTTTAAAAATTACTTTTTGGCATAAAAATTACTTTTCTTCTTCTTAAATTGTCTGTGTTTGCCAAAATTTGCTCATTTTTCACATGTGATAGAAGAACTGAATTGGGCATGTATAGAATGAATCACATCATTTGAAACTTGATGTTTCCCTGATTGGAGAAATTGGAAGTGTTACAACTGACCCACGTTACAACTATCCGGTCTCCCTATAGACGTGTGGTATCTACAGATTAACTGAGCCTCAGAGAGCGAGAGCAAAGACTAGAGCAATTTGCTGGTCTGGAGCATTCAGGTGTGCTCAGACACACACCTGAAGAAACCACAAGACTTCTGGAGGAATGTCCTTTGGATAGATAAGACCAAAGTGAAGACGTTTGACCGCCTCATACTCAGTGAAAAGTACAGTGATGGAGGGACAATCAATTCAGCTTGCTTTGCACCCACAGAACCTGGGCACCTTGAACTCCTCCATATACTAGAGTCAAATGTGAGGCCATCTGATTCCAAACACAAGAGGAAATCTAGAAAGGAGTGGTTTAAAAAGAAAAGAATAAATATGTTGTAATGGCTCAGTCGAAAGTTCCGCCCTCATCTCGACTCACTGGCTGTGGCAGGACCTCAAAAGAGCCATGGACGAATGACTCCCTGCAAACCTCAATGAATGGAAACAATTTTCAACAAACAGACGGTCAAATATTTCTTCATGATGTGAGAGACTGATAAAGTCACAATGATAAACTGGTTATACAATCTTTTGAATCTTAGTGTCTACTTAAAAATGAAACGGTTTAATATCTGAGGTTTTATTTACTTCATTTTAGAACCATCTTTTTTTTTTTATTATGTCCTGATGTGATTGTGTCACATGACTGTACATTAGCTACAGCAGGCATCCACTGCATGATGTTTCTTTGTCACAACTAGAACAATTTTCAGTGGATCCTGCAGTTTTCCATGCAGGACTTTCATGTGATGGAGTACTCTGAAAGTGTGCTACACCGGACAAAAAAAAAAAACAGGATCTGTGTTCTTCTTGAAGCATGTGGTGTGCATGTGTTCATTAAAGAGAAAAAGGAGAAATGAAAGCTCTTAAATAGACAAAAATTACCCATCATGCAGTTTAAAAAAAACAACTTTAAAAAACTTTATTGCTGAATTTAATTTTACAAATCAATCTTGAAAAAATATAGAAAGGTGTTGCAAAATATCTGACCAGATCTCAGGTAGATTGTGTGGATGTAAATCACACTCAGTTTCTATTGTCAGTATTGTGTGAACAACACTTCAACCTTATTGTATGTGGTTATTAAACATGTTAGAATTGACATTAAAAATCATACGTCAATATATCAGGATACAAAACTATACAGGGTGTTAAACAAAAACAAACATTATCAGCAACTTTGTAAAAAACAAGACAAAAATGTTTATTTTACTCTTGTTTATACACTTTTCTTTTTGGTGCTGAAAAAGGCCACACATTCACATTTCATTACACTCCATTCTTCAGATTTTGGCGTACTGTCCTGACTGCGGTCACAGTTTCAAGGCTGATGAACTAATTCCCAAAAAGCCAGAGCTGCACGGCGACTTAGTACAGTGATGTTTCACAGTTGAGTTAAGCAACATCATTTACAAATTTCTTGCATGGCACCTGAATGGGTTTTTTTCTATTAACTATACATTATACACATTACCCTAAACCTACTTGTTTATAAAAGTGAAAAAAAAAAAACAAGTATTAAAAAAAAAAAAAAAAACATTCACAGTGCTCCATGTACCAAAAAGACAGTTACAGAAGAACAAATTACACCTTTCCATGTCATCAAAGAAAAGAAGCCTTTACACAGAAACTTACGTTTGGTAATAAAATATATACATTTCATACATAACAAATTAGTATTTAAGTACATTGAGATAAACAACGAGAAAATATTTTGGTACAAATATTAGACTTAGGGAAAATAAAGCCCATAACCGATTAGTGCAGCAATGTCAGAATAATGTTGAGTAAACTAGTTATGGTACATATATAAAATATGTAAATATGGCACTTAGCATCTGTTATATATAATTCAGAGTTTACAAGGAAATCTGATGAATGGAATAGTCTCCTCCTCCTTTAGCTTCCAAAATAGATGTACTTTCCATAAGCAGGAACAAAAGATGAAAACTAGATTTCGCAAACAGCCACTATTGCATCAGCAGTGAGTAATCACCTCCTTTGGCTCAGAAGAAAGTACTTTCCCATTTTCACTTTGGAGCTCGTCTGAGAGAAGTCACTATTTTACACCCATTTTACACATCTTCCCTCACCGGAAAATCTTTAACAAAGAGAAAATGAAAGATTAAATTATTGGAGAGACACAGTAACAAAGCCAAATGTCAACAAACACTAGCAAAACTGTTAGTGGCTGATAAAAAGCTGCAGCAAGAGCAACAGAGTCACTCTGGTTTAACCAGTAATGCAGTTCACGTGGCGTTACGAAACTCACTGTGAGACGTTCCACGACGGCACCAAATCAGCAAAAATCCAAGCACCAACACAACAGGGACCCCTTTACACAATATCCTGAAATAGGGGTCTGGGTTGGGGTCTTTGCTGGTACCTGACATTGAACTCATCGCTGGAAATAAAAAAAATTATAATAATTGATATTATGAAATGTTCCACAGTGACCTGTATAATAAGTGTTACTATCTTTGCATTTAATGTCACAGCACATTTATCTTAAAAGTACCAGGCAACACCTCAGATCAATCTTTGCTGAAATAACAATTTAAAATGAATAATTACCAGATGGGCATGTGACATTGACTTGACATCTAGGCTCTGAGAGGAAGTTCCTTTCAGTCTCGAGTCTACTGTGAAAGTAGTGGACGTCAGTTTCTTCATCCAGGCTGTATGTGGTAGAGATGTTAGTCGTGGTTGAATTTGACAGACACGTTCCATTCAAAGTCCACTGAATGTTAGGCTCTTTGTAGCAGTCAAGCTTTACAACACATTGGTAAATGTTTCCACCATTTGGGCGAGTCTCACTGTGCTGACAAATATGTGTCCCTGGTGAGAGACGATTTTTGTTAAAATAATGAAATTACATGAGTATTCAAAAATTGCTGGTAATCACAATGTACAACTTACCACAAACCACAAGATTCACAAAAAAACGTCTGTATTGTGGAGAATTAAAACGACAACTGTATTTTCCCTGGTCTTCTTTTGTGATGTTTTTTAATAGAACAGAACAATTACTGCTGTCCTTATGAAAAAATGTTTCATATCGGTGTGACAGGTTGTCTTTAAAATCTAAGGTCCCATCATTATATCTGAAGATCAATTTTGCCTCCACCCCTCTCTCCTCATCTTTTTCCACTTGCCACTTGAAGTCCTTATTCAAATCTCTATTAGGGCAGTCACATGGCAGGAGCACATCGTCTTTCTCAAAGCCTTTGACAGTGACAGGAATGCCTTCACCTGCAACAGAAAAGATGACCAATCATAAGTCCAGTTATGAGAATCACAATGTCAGTTTTCCTGCTGCATTAAATTATCAAAAGTAAACTTGACAAAATAGGAAAACACAGAACTTGCTGCTTCTCAAAAGTTCAATAATCACAGAGAAACTGAGGAACAACTTGTGGGCTTTACAGCTCTGCTGTTAGAGTCAATTTCAGATGAAAGTATTTCTCGTGAGGATATGTAGGATTTGCTTTATCTTCTAAAAGACCTGGCATAATCATAAAAATACAATTCAGTGATTTGGGTTCATCAATAGTACAAAAAGAGCAGAAAGTCAAGTGCCTATAGCTTAATAAAGTGTTATATTTATGTAGGCTATAGTGAGTATAACGAACTAAATAACTAACTACTAGTTAAAACTAGTTGTTTTCATGTAGTTCTTGTGTAATGTTTAGCTGAGTACATTCCTCCCTGTGAAATATTAACAATCATCATATTTAACAACTGTACATTTAAAACAATCCACCCGGGAACGCCACATTTTTATTTACCATCCACACAATCACTCATGTTTGCTTTTGTTGCTCTTGTTTCACTTTCTGATAAATCTCCAGTACATCTGCACAGTTGTTTGTGTGTTTCATGTTTTCCATCTGTTGTTCTTTGGCACTTCAAGTGATAACTGCCTAAATATTTCTATATTCAAATTATAATCCCTTCTATTGTGCCAATTGCTACATGGAATTTAGCAACATGTTCTGGGCATGAAACTATACATGATTGCACAACCACTCCTTGTTAGAGATTTGAGCCTCAATTTGTTTGCATTTCTTCAGATTGAATAAAGAAAAGACATCGAAAGAAAAGAGCTGAAAGAGCTGATGATAACCAGACGATGTAAACAGACAGCTCTGACCTGACAGTTCAGGTCATCTCCAATAAACTAAAATAATTAAAACAGTCAAGGCAAAGGTCTTCTGTGACTTTTTACTGGATTTTACAAAGTAGGCGTGTTTGTTTCTGTATCTATAAATAATCAAATTCTTTTAATCAAAGTATTTCTCGATTCTGATGAGAAAGGTTTCAGATTTTTTGGGGAGAATGTATATTTGTGCATTCAAATTGCATCTCTGAAGATTCGCATTAGGTTTAGTCATTACTAAATACTAAAAATGTATGAGTTTTATATATATAACTACATGTAATTGTACCATATTTAACACATAATTTGATTTTTATTATTGATTGTTTAATCTTACGTACAAATTGAATTAAAACAAATACTAAAATGAAAGAACTAAAAACAAATGATTGCCTTCCTATACAGGTTAGACCTGAACTTGACCTTGTTGTTTTAACACCCTAGGCTGTTTTAACAGTGGTTTACGGTTGAAGAAGAACACATTTCCAATCACGTGACATTAGTGAAAAAACTTTCTATGAACATTCGCTGCTAAAAAGGAAAACAAAGTGTAACTTTTATGAGTGTTAAAAGATGTGAACCTTAAGTAATCTAATAGACTTTACCACAGCAGCCCAGTAGTTACTCCCACTTTAGCTCATAGCTAAAAGTATGATTTAAAAAAACAAAAAATGATTGCAATGTCTTTGATAAAGGAAGAGCTAAAGCTTTCATAAGTCTTAAAACTTAAGTTTCACAGATTAAGGCATGAACTAGAAATGTTTTAGTCTTTTAGTTCAGAGTTAGTTTTAATCCACGTCTGGGAATCTGGGTGAATGAGTCAAGGTTGAACTGACTTGATACGTCTTTTAGGATGTCACGCACTACAGATTTTATTGCTTTGCATTTCTACCCACGCAAGTGATTCACCTTTCTGATTTTTAGGTAAGAGCTGTGCGAAAATTAACATGATTATGTAACTGTCTTAATAAGACTATTAGAAATTGTATGATGTAGTTTTCATAAGGTGATAATGTGTGTACAAAAAAAAATGTGTGTGAGCTTTTTTAATCCAGTTTTGATTATAAAAGAACAGCTTTTCAAACAGCTCTTACACTGTGGTATTTTTAATTGCTGTAGCAGAACATGTAATTGAATTGTTTAAACTATTTATGATTTGGTTACTCATTGAATGTGGTCTTAACTTCATCTAGTTCACACATTAGTACTTTTGGCTACTCCCCAGGTGGACGGATCTGTGTTTGATTTGGCACAAATTCTTCACTGGATTTTCTGATCCAGGCTGCCAAGAGTGAGCTCCTGCAATCAAACTGGGGATCTTTGCACATAAAGCAAACATGTGGAGCACTATCATTGTAAGTGTGATAGAATTGCTCCACCCAAGAATAAGTCTCATAACATCTTGACCAAAGATGTCTTAATGGACCGTTGATGCGACTCAGAATAAACAAGCAAACTGGGAGTGTGTTGCTGAATACCTCCAAGAGGGGTCAAGGGAACCCAGCTATGAGCTGAAACAGGGAGGGAAGCATAAAACTCACGACTAGCATTAAGTCTTAACTTCTTAAGTTCAAGAGTTTACTTTTGTGTTAAAAGCTGACATGAAAGTGTGACCTGGGAACGGACAACCGATTAACAGATGAAGGTCTTTTAAGCATTTACAGCAAATATAATGCAGAATTAACACTCAAGAAACATCGTGAAGATTTTTTGTGTTAAATCAACACTTTTGAAGTTGAAGATTGACTGACCTACTTAATTGATTAACACTGAGCAGTGCCAATAATATTTCTACACCGGTCTTAGCGTTATAAATTTAACACTAAGTCGTGCTGATTTGCTAACATTGAAGAATCAACACTGGCATTTCTGATGTGTACCCTTTTTATGAGAAGAGAACGACATAAATCTCTTTGCATTTAAATGTTTTGCTTGGCATGAAGACTTACCTGCGGACACCACAAAAAACGCGGAGAGCAGGAAAAAACGCATAATTCCTCCACGGGTGGACTGCTGCTAGAGGTAATCTGTACTTCCCAGATTGCGATTGATAATCTGTGTTAGTCTGCTGTCCTGATCTGCTCCTTCTGACAACACTTTCTGATGCTACATTTTCGAGAGCTCTGTAACTTCTGTGCGCCTCGAGCCAAACCACTCCACTTAGACGTCGTGTTATTGGGAAATGAAAGTCCTCTCCGGAATACCGTCACACTACGCCTATAAAAGGAAATCAATAACTAACGCGGCGAAAGTCTCGCCACCTACTGAGGACAAAGAATATTAAAACACTCGTGGGTTTGGACATTAGAGACTTGCAGCATAAATGTATGCAACACAATCTTATTTGAAATGGGTGATGTTGTAGTTGTTATTGTAAAGGTTCTCAATGACATGTAAGCGCGTGCGCACACACACACGCGCTCCCTCCGCCCGCTCCCACCAATCCAAACACATCCTCCAGCCTCGCGCCGTCACCGGGAGCTGGATCAGCAGGATCAGGACTGCGTCGACGCATATTCCGACATTTCTCTTTGTGCAAACGGACAAATCGTGAACATAACGGCGCTGCTGGACACCGGGAGGACGGTATGGGGGAGCACGCGGCGTTTCTGCTGTTACTCGCGGCGACCTTGACGCTTTCATCCGAGGTGAGTTTAGCGGAGAAACCGCAGCCTGTGGCGGCTAACCGTTACCTGGGCCAGACTCTTATGCCACCGTAGCTGTCAAACACTAACCCCGACACCCCCTCTCCATACACACACCGTGTTTAATCTTCATAACGACTATTAAAAAATAACATATGCAGATTAGATGGAGTCATAACAACACGGCGTGGCTGCTAATGGATGACATAAGAGCTATTAGAAGGTGCTGCTGCCAAAGATAACGCGATGTAAGGGCTTGTGAGCGGCCCACGCAGCCTTTAATCCTATAAATGGATGTCCTCTGTTTTTAACAGAGGTGAAAATATGCCCTGTGAATCCACCTTAATCGCAGACCTGCAGTGTACACACACAGAGTCGCTGCGCAAAATAAACCACCAAACCAGGAATGTCAGCAATGCTACCGCGGCCTACCGTTAGATGTCAGTGGTTGGTATCTTGGCCCTGTCATGTCGGATGTTATTAATCACGGAGTGTTTTTTTTTTCATTCTTCTACTACTCATTAATGTTTGATTTTTACGTTAAGAGAAGTATTAACAGTTTAACCGCTACGCCTTTCGCCGGGTTATAGCACCGAGAAGGGTGTAGGGAGCTAACGGTGGCTAGCTTTTTTCTAGAAAATGACAACACAGCTGTAAATGTCAAGTCCACTGTTAAATACCTGGACGGATTTAAACCCAGTACCATTCTAGAAAAACAAGAAGGGTTGTGTGTAAATAACCCAGCTGTGTCCGGTGACACCAGCCTTTTATTTATTTATTTATTTTTATATAGCGTAGATAATATCGCGCTGGGCCGCCTGGTCCAGCGGAGCTGCGGGGCGGTGAAACTGCTGAGGAGAATGGAAAAAGGATGCAGCCTTATTAGTTTCACACAAGCAAGATGGCGCCTGCAGCTTGGTGTTCCTCTGATGGACCACAGAGGAATATGTTGCTCAGGACAGCTGGAAAAAAGGATGAATGGGCACCTGTAAATCAATTAGTGCATTTTTCCTCATTGTCACGTTACATTCACGGCGAAGGGGTTGTTTTTCACGCTGCAGGCTCACCAGCCCCTGTGTGTGGTGCAGTGAAAATGTCTCCACAGCAAAATTATGCGGTACACACTATCGACACCATACCCGTGTCTGTCGTGACATTTGAGCTGCATTTGTTTTGTAACGTTGAAATCAGCATTGTGCTGCCTTTTACGCACCAAGCCTCCGGCGATATAGAGATTATAATTTTCCACGAGGTTTGTCACGGTAAGCATACCGAGGATTGTTTTACTCTCTTGCCAGTTTAGTTTACCCCAGCACACACAAGCCTATTATGCTGTAGTGATTTCGCTTTCTCTATTTTTGTTTTATTGTTTGTTTTGTTTTGTTTTTTTTGTCGTAATGTGAAAATGATATACAAGCCCTGCAGCACCAAAATACATTAAGTTATTTTAGGGTAATCTTGGATTGGTTTACTAGTAACATGCGGCTTTATGAAAAACTGGTTGAGGCTTAAATATGAAAACAGGCAGCGTCACTTTGAAAGACATAAATAAGTAATGGAGTATATGGTAGTGCTGTGATAACGCAAATTTGATATCAATGTGATACCAAGTAAATCAAGGGCCAGTGTTGCCTATACTTTTAACCAGGGAAGGCAGTGTGTCATGATTTATCAGAGTCAGAGAGACTTTATTTATCCCCAAGGGGCAATTAAGATACAACAGAGCAGCATGACGTTTAAGAACGCAAAACTGTTCAGCTGACTGGCCGGTCGACCACACGAGCAGCGACCCAGAAGGAGGAGAACTCCCCCCAGACTGAGCTCCAACAGGAAATCAGTTTGAGAAGGGAGGGGGCGGGAAGCGGGGGGTGGGTCTGTGTCAGTGTACATGCGTACATGTGCGTGTATGGGCTCAAATTGTGGTTAGAAATATTTTGTACTTGTAAATCAGGATTTGTATGTGTAAAAAGAATTTGTGTGTGCGTAAAAAAAGATTTGTGTGTGGGCTTAGCCAAAAAAATATGTGTGAAACTGCATTCAAGTTGCAAGTTACAAGTATGAATTTTGACCCTATTTTTCTTCTGTTTGTCCAATGTCATGTCAATCACAAATTTAACTATCCAATCAGAGAACAGATGGGTTTGGCTATTGGAGGGGTGCTTTATGGAGCTTCAGGTCCTTGAAGGGAATAAATGCCCTTTTACATGCCAGCAGTGCAGCACAGCGTTTTCCTTCATCACCACGAAGGAAAACAGTCTGTGGTGGTCCGAGTTTTGTGTCACAGGTTTACGTGCTTAATACAGGGACCTCCAGAGCCTTTTCAACAGCGTCAGAGTCAGAGATAGAAACGACAAGGAGCAGGTGCATCTAGTACAGGTAGAGCTGCTGCAAAAACCCACAGAGCTCAGCAGCCGGGTCAGCCCTGACTTTGTGTTAAACTCCTCCTAAAGTAATAATGGTATTTCTAACCACTGATATACCACAACTTTATCCTTTCAACAGCTACTGAAAGTTAGGGGACCTAGCTTCTATCGGATATTTACATAGAGATCCTCTAGCTTCCAACTGTATTACCCTTCAAGGACCTGCAGTTCAAAAAAGTGCCCCTCTGACAGACAAACCCATCTATTCTCTGATTGGATAGTTAAATTTGTGATTGACATGACATTGACCAACCAGATGAAAGGAAGAAAAATAGGGTCAAAATTCGTACTTGTAACTTGAAACAAATCTTTTTTACGCACGCACAAATTCTTTTTACATATACAAATCCTGATTTAAAAGTACAAAATATTTATGACCACAATTTGAGCCCATATGCGTGTGTGTGTGTGTTTTCTCCGTGTTCAGCCGAGAGGAAGTCTCCCTTTACTCGATTAGGCAAAAGTCCACAATCTTTGGTCAACACGGGTGGCCTTGAAGGAGGTGGGAGAAAGTCACAAAAACAGTTTTGTTATCTAAGGGAGAATTTTGTTATTCCTATCAGCTTTTGCCTTGAGCATCCAGCTGGTGCCAGTGGGCAGAATGAGGTGAGATGGTAGTTGTTTTGGTCAGTGCGAACAAACTGCATCCAATTTTGCAGTTGGTCTAATGTCCATCACTGGCCACCAGGTCTCTCAATTCCCGATGCAGTGTCACCTCAAGATCTTATCCATATTGCAGAGCCATGAGCTTCTCCAAGATCTTATCCATGTTGCGTTCAGTAAACACAGTCTGAGTACTCACAGCCCTGCCCATTGTCTATCATGTTGGCCAGCCTTATGGGAAACGTCTCCGCAGGACAATCGGGCTCTCCCAAGCCCCGGCTTCTCACCGAGAAGAGGTTGCTTTATGATCTAAAGCATCATCAATCTGCAAATTGTACAATGCAATACAGTTTTATGTGTATAGCAAATTTAAAATCAGAGGTACACCAAAGTGCTTCACAAAATCCAGTAAAAGTACCGGTAGTAGCAAAATACAAATGCAAATAAGCTAGCAGGTAGAAAGCATTGATTAATTAAGCATACAAGGTAAGCAGATATCAAAATAAAACTTCAAAGGTAAAATCAATACAAAACATTGTTCAACAAAACAGAAGAAAAGGGGTTCCATGAGAGTATACTTACAAGAAGCGTACTCTAGATAGCCAGGAAGGCTAAACCAAATAGATACGTTTTCAATTGAGATTTAAAAGTCTGGATCGAATCAGACACGCAAATAGCTTGAGGTAGATTGTTCCAGATGTTAGGTGCAACTGGAGCGAAAGCACGGTCACCTCTGGTCTTTAGCTGTGACCTAGGTTGCACCAAGAGCAATAAGCCTGTTGATCTCAGTGCTCTCCTGGGAATATAGAGGCTGAGAAGATCAGTAAGGTAGCTAGGTGCAATATTTTTTATGATTTTAAAAGTAAGCAATAAGATTTTAAAATCAATGCGATATTTAATGGGAAGCCATTGTAGGTCAAAGAGAATTGGGGTAATTGACTCAAACCTACCAGTTCCATTTAAGAGGCGTGCCGCAGCATTTTGAGAAAGTTGCAGTCTATGTAGAAGGGCAGATTGGAGACCAGTGTATAGGGAGTTGCAGTAGTCTAATCTAGATGTGACAAAGGCATGAATATGTTTTTCAAGATCCTCATGTGGTAAGTATGGCTTGGCTTTAGAGATTAGACCTAGTTGGTAAAAACTAGGTTTAACTACAGAGGACACAAGAAGGTTTTTGAACACATTTTGATGACCACTAAATCTGATTTTCACAGCTTTCAGCTTTTCATGTAGTTTGAGACTGCTTTTTTGGGGTGAGACCTGGAATGCACATCTGCCCCTCTCTGAAGTGCTTTGGGTGAACTTCTGTTGTTTAAACGTGCTATAAGCTGGAATAAAGTAAATGTGACAGTCAACACAAAAAGTTTCAGACATTTTTTAAAATTAATATTTGAGCTTTATTCTTACATTTCCAAAAGAAAATATTTTTTAACACAATTCAGTGGGCTGTATACTGAACTCGGAGGGTAGAAACAAAGTATCGATCCTATTGCGCTCATATCGA